TGCTGGCCACACTATTTCTGATACAGATGCAGTAACTGGCTGCAACCAATCTACATCTTTCAGAGGATACTGTAAGAAAACATGTAGTGAACAGTTAGCTCACAAAGAATAGACAAGAAATCAACAACCCTTATGAGATAGTCTTTCCTATTGCTAAATAGTCCTAACTTTTGGCCTTCAAGTCAGTTCCCTGTCTCAAGTTAAGTTCTTCTCTAATTTATATCAGTATAAATCCAGGGAAAAAATGAAGGAAAAAAGCATAGCTGATTAACATCTATCTACATGTTTTATATAAACATGCAAAATAGCAATCACATTATTTGAAAATATGAAGAATAAAACAATTTCTTTCTTGATCTAGGTTGATGTTGATGCAATGTCACTAAACTCTAATGATGTGTTTGTTCTGAAACTGCCAAACAACTCTGGCTACATCTGGGTAGGAAAAGGAGCAAACAAAGAAGAGGAACGAGGAGCTCAATACATTGTCAGCATTCTTAAATGCCAGACTGCTAAGATTAATGAAGGCCAGGAACCAGGTTAGTATGAGGCCACATGGTTGCTAATAGGCAGCTGAGAATACACAGCACTGCATGGAAATGCAGCCTAAATGGTTTCTGCAATCATGTATTTTGTAGGCAGAAGCATGTGTTCACTCTCTCCCTTTGAAAATCCAACCTGACATTTTACCATGGAGATCTATCCAGAACTGGCTGATGCACAAGCAGTGCGATGCCCTGGAAGTCTGTAGGACAGTAGCAGGAGCTGCAGAGGAATGTGATCCTTTCTTTACCCTGAGTGCCTAGGAAGGGAGAAAGGCATAGCGCATTGCTCCTTCTAGGTCTGCAAGTGATATCTTTATTGTTATTTTGACAAACTGCAGGAAGAACTGTAAGAAAATGCACCCATGCATGAGAAGGAAAAGAATATATTGTTTGGGGATTCTTGAAACAGTATCTAACAAACTAAAACATCAAATGTTAAATCCACTGCTGAATAAATTATATATTGTGTATTTCAGAAGAATTCTGGAAAGCACTTGGAGGTAAAAAAAAATATCAGACTTCATCACAACTCTTGACAAAGGCTGAAGATCATCCCCCTCGCCTCTATGGTTGTTCTAATAAGACTGGCAGATTTATTGTGAGTATATGAGGGATACTTTCCTCTCTGTTTAATTACATATTTTCTGGTATATTTTTGCCTTGGGAATCATCAGACATTAAATGAATTTGGGGATCTGGCTTAATTAGCCGTGCTTGGCAAGAACTAGAGAGTAGAGGTTTGGTGCTTTAAATGAATCCACATGCAAAGGACGGACAGAAGAGTTAATACTGCAGATGTCTGCACGCAGAGCCTGCTCCAGCCTGGGACTAGAGGCTTGCAGATGCAAAAAGATAAGGCATTTGCCCAGTCGAAAGCAATTGTGTTCTTGCAGAGCATTGCCAGACGGCTATAATTTTGAGAAAGTGCAGGTCAGTGCCTTGCCCCTTACGTGTTTGATAGTGGTGGTGAGAAAAAGAAATGTCCCTTACCAAAAATCCCTAGCAGTCTGAAATTTTCCATAGAGATTTAAGACATGTAATTATGCCTCTAAGGTATTGACCTGTGCTCAAGGAGGTAGGAAGACCTATTTCCTTAGCAGAAATACCCAGAGCACAGCTCTGTGATTCAGGCTTAATTACTTACCGTATTCTGGGAGGGCAACGTTGTGTCACCGTTTGGCAAGGATGCACTAATTTTTACGTGGGGGATGTAGTTGGCTACCATTTCTGCAGTCTCCTTAAGGCATAGCCCGTTCATTTGCAGAGGGATAAAACAAATAGGATCCTTTAATAAGGACTTTAAAATCTTAGGAGAGTAGTAAAGTGTATTCTTCTAACAAGCTTCTAAAACACTCCTGTGAAATACAGTAACAGGAACCAACCTCTCTATAATAGCCTGCTGGGAGCTATGCACTTGTTTGGTTTTTGTTTTAAATTCCCTCCAAATTCTGTGAAATCCCCTCTTTCCTGTAGTATTTCTCTAGTAACAGAATCACCACTGTTAGAGCTCACCAGAAGAGGTACGTCAGATCACTCTGACTTTCTGGCCACCATAACACAGGGTGGGGAAAAGGAATGTCTTTTGCACCATCTGCTTAGCGTCCCTTTAGAACTCCCACATGACCAAGCATAGCCAAACCCTTGACAGTCCTTTAAAAGTAGAGGGCTGACCACTAGCTACATTACTATCTCTTCTTCTCATACAGAATGACATTAAACTGCTTTCCTATCTGCCTGCAGATAGGAAGAAGCAAGCAGTCTGCCTTTCCTTTGGGTACTAGTCCTCGATGGCTTAGTCAACTGTAATGTCCTATTGTCAAGCAAGTGGAAAGCTTGCTTGGGTGTGTATTTCATCACTGAGCTCACCCACTGCAAACCAAAGCAGTTTCTTTTCTTTATTAATGAATGTAAGCTGCATGAATATATCAGCTGATACCAGCTGATTGATTTAGTTTGCTTGGTACAAGGTGCTCTATGGAAATTTCCCTGTCCCCTTCTTCTGGCAGACCTCAGACTTGACTTAACAATAGTCACAATTACAATGTAAACCTCTGCCTCTCCTGAGGATATCCTATCAATTCTGACAAACTGAGAGCTGATTTTATAGGACATGCAATTATACGATTTGTTTCCTTTCAGTGAAACACCCTTGACACATTCATCAAATCAGTTTAGGGCTTGACCCTTCAGGAGCAAAAAGAATTGCACACCAGCTTTCTGAACTTATCCTTTTAAAAATATCTTTCGTCTGTGCAAAATCAGAATATCTTGATAAATCATTAAAAACCAAAAAAACCCCGAAACGTAATATCCTTTTTAGATTGAGGAGGTCCCAGGAGAATTCACTCAGGACGATTTGGCTGAAGATGATGTCATGTTGCTGGATGCTTGGGAGCAGGTAAGCTGTGTACTTGACCACTGCTTTTTGTGGTAACAAGGATAATTTATTTTTAACCACTTAGATCATAAGATGGGAGGAAAAATCATCATTGTGAGAATGGAAGAGGTTTTGTTTTCTTTAAATTATACCAGAGGGAGCTATATTTTGTGAGCTATATGATGTGCTAGTGTGAACAGACACAATTGAATTTCCAAGCATAATGTGAGACCCCGGCAGGCACTTCCCATTAAAACCAATGGAGGCTGCAAGAGTATAAGCCCCGGCAGTGTTCTGAAAGGCTCTCAATAATGTTCTTGACTTTATCACTAAAATTTATTAATTTTAAAAAAGAAAGTTATTGCATAAAAGATATTCAGAAGCCACAAAATCCATGTAGCAGCAGCAGCTACAAAAAGTCTTACTAAAGAAGGGGACAAACACTCGACCCTTACACAGATTTCTTCAGAAGAACTGGGTGGAGGGTGACAGAAACAATCTCCGTCATTTTCCCAGGGTCACTGAAAACTGAAAATGTTGAGAGCTTTTTGGATGACAGGCAAACTTACTGCAGGTGCAGAGGGCACATCTGTTTCTCACAGTATATTCTCTCTACCCTTCCTCTCTCCTTGGAGGGAAAGGGGGAGGAGGCCACAAATCCCACGCTTTATTTGTCTTCTTCAGCCTAACCCTTAAGGAAAAAAAGGCTGAGGTTTTTGGAAATGAGAAGGAACGTTCAAGGTCCATGTGGGAAGGAGTGATGGGGGAAGGTGGGTGGAAGAGCTGGATGGAAAGTAGCTGGGACATACTGACTGAGGTAAGAAGGAAAGAAGTCCAGGTCATGTAGCTGGTTTCCAAAAAGATCCTTGACAGAAAAAAAAAAAAAAGTGGGGATTGCAGATCGAGGCTCTGATTGTTGGGTTATTTGGTGGGTTATCTAGCAGTTACCCTGGGTAGCACTGATCACAGGGCACAAGCGTTGATGTGCACCCAGAGCTCAAATCAGAGAGAGCTCCTGTTCAGTGTTTTTGCACCTAAAGAGCAATTTTATGGCAAACTGTAAAAGATATCCATGGAAAAGGTAATTAGAGTTCCTTTCATCAGAGTGCATAAAGGTCCGGCCTTCCAGTGTCAAGAGAGCGGTGAGATTTCAGACGATAGAACTACAGTCTCTTGCAAGGGAAAAAAAAATCATCAGTTGTGGTTTGTGAGAGCTGTGTATCTCTGCAGTCATTTCATAGTGTATACTCTTTCTCCTAGTGGAATCAATTATTTTGTACTTTACCTGCTGTACACAACATCCTTATAACAACATGGGAGCTATATCTTTCTCTCCTCTGATTGCAGGTTTTTGTCTGGATTGGGAAGGATGCTAATGAAACTGAGCGACAGGAATCCGTTAAATCTGGTAAATCAAATCAATTTGGCAGAATTCTGAGTGAAGTAGCATCAATATTACTTAAAGAAGTGAAAAAGATGATGTAGAAGAAATCTAGTTACGTTTACACTGTTTAAAAGGGTTACTGAGCTGATTAAGATTTAATCCTGGAGAAGATAATTTTCTCCTTTAAATGTGCTTTAAACCTCATTGTATCTTTCTTATCTGTAATTTTATGAAGGGTAAAATTAATCAAGATAGCATTACTAGGCTGCAGAGCTTTTTAAAGAATATATAGGAGAGCTCCATGAAAAGAAACGGCACTGAAAAGAGAAATAATTTAAAGGGAGATACCTACTGAGCTGCACCCTACACTAATGTATATAGTCAAAGGAATGCCAACAAATCCTCAAGTCCTTACACTGCCACCCTTCACTGAGTTAAATTTGGAGGAGGAAATTCCAGTTGCAGAACAAATCAAGACAATTCACGCAGAGTGCACCTCCTTGAAAAATCACGTGTCATCTCTGGTGTGATTTCACATAGCTGAGCCATTCTGACAAAGTTCATGCTAAAAACGCTTGCAGATATTTCCCTGGAGCAGCCAGGGTTACCAAGCTGTGTTTCCAATATATACTGATGTCACGTTACGATGTCAAGGGAAACTATACTGGCTTTTACATAGGAAAAATGGGAATGAAACTTGTGCATCTGTACAGCACCAGCAAATTCTTTCTCCTGTTCAAGAGCCAAAACCCAACTGTATGGCAATGAACTGATCAGAGCAACAATCCCTCTGTGCAAAATTCTTTCACTGGCAGCTGGGAGAAATCAGCAGTTACCTGATCATTTCATTGCCTTTGAAATCATGTAATTGAATACTTATTATAGTAGCCCTGGTTCTTTCACTAGGGCTTTTAATGTATTTTTTATACCAAAGGAACGAACTAATATATTACATGTTTTATTTCCTCTCTGTTTTTAGCCAAACGCTATATTGAAACAGATCCTTCTGGCCGAGATAAGAGGACCCCCATTGTGATTGTGAAGCAGGGGCACGAACCCCCGACATTCACAGGCTGGTTCCTGGCTTGGGACTCCAACAAATGGAAGAACTGATCTATCCAAGGAGGCTTCAGCTTCAAGCCAAAGAATGATCAGAGCCCAGCTACCTTCTAGTATTTTTAAGCATAAGCTTATGCAAAGATATGATGCATCTGTTGTTACACTTTCCCGAGCTTTGATATATTTCTGTGAATAACCTAGAAATTCTTAGCACTGGAAAGGATAAATGATAATTGTAAACTGGTCAAATGGGGTGAGTGCAGCTTTTCATGTAGTAAATATGGGAAGTGCTACCAATACTTTGTTTAATCTATTGATTCTTCAAACAGAAGCTGTGGATCAATTTATTTTAATGTGCTAAAATGGGCCAAATTCTGCCTTCACTTAAAAATCCACACTAATGCTACAGATATTCCCAGATAATGCCATTAGATTAAGATCAGCATAGTATTGTGCAGAATTTGGCCTGATAAAGGGCTAATTCTACATCTGTTGCAAGGGTAGGACTGGACATGATTTACTTACTAGGCCAAAATATTGCCACACTTACTCATGTAACCTGATCCAGAGTGGGAGCTGTGTCTTGCAGGGGGCAAATAAGGGATGGGTTTTTTGAGAAAGCTGTGCTTCACACATTTGTTTGTCTTCTTAGTACATATATTTGGAGCTTCAGACTGAATGGCTGTAAGAATATGAAGTCGACAAAGGTTTTTTTGAGGGACTGTTTAGCTCATTGTAATGAATTTCTTTAGATTTCTTTGTGAACCACCTCCAGCTCCACCAGGTCTTTTTAACCAAAGCTCTTAAACACATTCTAATGCACGAGGGCTTTTAAGTGGAAGCAGAAGAAGTAACAGCTTCAAAAATACAGACTCTGCCTTAACTAGATTGCACTTAAGCAATACTTTGTCTCGGTTGCCTTACTCAGCAGTACTCAGTTCTTTTCCAGCATGCAGACTGCTCACCTTGTCAGGTGCAAGATGTGTTTCTACTCATTTTCTATGCAAGTCTTAGTCAAATATCAAGCACATCAAGCACATCAAGCACAAGCAAACCCCTTGTTTCAGTCCATATCCTGGGAATTTGGAATGTGAGTACGCACCATAGAATATGGCCTTCTCTTTTCGCTCAGACACACTTATTTGGGCTTTTTTTATTCTGGTGAATTTAAGAGTACATTTTCAAAGTGTTTTTTATTTGTAATTTAGCCAAAAAAGTCTACGTAAGGGCAGTGGGAAAAATTCTGCTTCAAATCTTTAGCACTGCTTTGATCACTTATCCTATAATGCTTGTTTTAAACAACAATTTGTATAGCTATAAATCATGTCAATGTGGCTTTTTAATGAAGGCATTTCAACAGCTTTATTATTCTTATAAGTTAGGTTGGAAAGTGAAATTTTAGACATTTTTGTATTTTTTTAAACATGATTGTGATTTTGAATCTGGGTAATGCAAAAGAGTGAATTTAGTCTGACCTCATAATCAGTATCAGTGACAAAAGAATTGTGAAGCTAAGAGATTAATTTTAGGGGTTTGTTAGCTTTAAACATTTGCTTAAATCTCTGCTAATATAACTGGACTGTATCTGAATGTAATTTCATTTCAAATAAAATTACAAAAAATAGTATTCTATATGCCGAGCTGATTTTCCTCTCTCTGACATATTGTTGCTCAGTGCTTCCACTGATGTCTAGCAAAACTTCCTAAAAAACCCAGTAGGTACCTTCCTTTTCAGATCGACAATGCAATGAGAAGTTACTTGTTTTTACTTTGGTGCCATTTTATCCAATGGAGCGTTAACTCTTCCCCACAACGTGAAAGTTATAAGCCTAAGTGAAAATCAAAGAACCGGGTGCTTATTAGCTTGTGATTTCATCTTTAAGAAAAAACTAGCATTGTTGTTATCAAACTCTTTGGCTTTGTAACTTTCTGCTTGCAAAAAGGATTGACTATAGAAATGACTATTTTATAAAATAGGAGGAAATAGGTGTATGTCTGTTTTTAAAGGATAGGTCTTGCTTTTTATTTGTGAGAGTAGATAAGGAGGTGTCCTTCTCCTGCTAGAAGGAGCACAAAGACCTTTTCAGTTCCTCAGATACTGCACTTCATGCAGCCACTGAGCAGCCTGTAATTATCTGATGCTTGTCTTCGACACATACATATGATTCTTCTCATTTTTAAAAAATAACAGTTATAGTAGCTTCTTATCCAAGGATTAAACAAGATTTGCCCTCCTTGTACATAAACATCTTCCGGAACACTGAGGGCTCTGAACTGGCACAGTCTGCCAGCATATTCTGCGGCACTGTGAAAGCCTCTTTTCAGTTCCCTCGCACAAGACAGAGGAGCTTTTGTGGTCTCCTGGCCTGGGCATTTGGGTTTACAATACATTGTCCCAGCACGTTGATTACTGATGTTGAGAAGAGCATTGAGAGCTCATAACGGAACAGTGTTCTCAACTGGGTTTAAGCACAACAGCTGCTAGCAACATTGTTCTTGGGTTTACTTGCTAGCGAGGAAGTTTATTTTTCATACATATATGTGCAGTACACACAAAGATGTATTTCTTTCTCTCTGAAGGAGAAGAAAGAGAGGAAGGGAGGACAGACAGGATGGGCTATGAGTGCTTGGAAATATTAAAGATTAAGCTGTTTTCAAGAAAACGTTTAAGTATGTAACTTTATGAATACACATAGCAAACCTATCTGCCTTGTTTTCAGAATAAATAGAAAAAATTGTGCAGATGTATACTGTACAGTCAAGTTCAATCAAGAATACGCTATATCTTGCATTATTATCACACACTAATAGTACATTCACTCCATTTGTAATGGCAAAATTAGACCCTGAGTTAGCAGTTTCATTATGCTACCAAACAGCAAGCATTCATATGTTCTATTGGTTGTAAATACAGCATCATTTTTCATCTTTGTTTTATAGAATTTCATTGCAACAGAAAGATGTTAGGAATCCTTAGAGCCAACAGGACATCATAATACTATATAGCGTTGGTAGTTTACATAAAATAGTATAATCTTAGAAATATAACTACATATTGTACACAGGAGAGGAGCCAGCCTCTGGAAAAAACTGCTCTAAATATCCATTTTGACCATAGCACATAGTTCTATATAGCATCAGATCTGCTGTAAATGATAATGTTAAATGTAGCTAAATTCAATTGAACAGTTTGATCTCTTGCCAGTTCAGACTTACATAGGCTCCACCTGCAACAACAAGAAAACGATGAAGATGGTAGACAGTGGAATTGTGGTACCATCCCTCCCAGGAGAACTAATCATACAGAAAATATTTTGCTCGCTGGACTAGCAGCCAGTGCTGTCAGACATCTCTATAAGCTACAAGAACACTTCTTGTTATAAACTTTGCGATCTTCTTGTAGTCTTCATTTTTACTGGATCTAAAAAGACTAAAAAAAAAAATGCCAAAACAAGCCTATTATTTTCCATGGACTGCAATTGCTCCTCAGAGTCCACTTGTCTATAGGAAAACTTGAAAAAAACCTTCAAACTTTACTTTAGAATACAATTGCTTCCTCAGCATCCCACTGAATTTGTGCCTTTATGGCTTAACTGAGCTAAATGTAAGTATATAAGATAAAAAAATTATTATCTCATAAAACCAGAGTTAGATAATACTTTAATGTCCTGACTTTCCAGATCCTTGCTTTTTCTTTTTTAAAGTAACTTTGTCTTTAGATAAAGAAATAGTACATTTTTCCCTTCTTATGGCTAGAACATTTGCTGCTAAAATCAAAGCAACTTCTGATTTCATTGAAAACACAGACAGATCTTTAATCCACTACACGTCCTTAATGTCTCATTACATCCTCTCTAGACTGGCCTAAAGTTACTTTGACCTCCTCTGACTATTAACACATTACCTTATGCTAAAAATCAATAAACTACACTCACTTCAATTAAAGCTTCCCAAGTGCAAGAGGGAGAAGGGCAGACCAATGGGAACTGGGAGGCCCACCATGCCATAAAATTAGTCGATGACTGTTCTGGCCCATCTCCCCCTGCATGTCATTTTCCTCTTGACGTTGAAGCGTATTTGCATTACAGGGGGGAAGAAAAAAAATCTGTCCCTACAGAACAGAACACATAAGCTGATTTTTATTTTTCTTCTAAACAATAGCAAATTGAGTTATTCTGGGGGAGCACAGAAGGGGAATCAGCTTGTACCAAGCTTCTTCCTAAATGCATCCACACTTCCACCCCGCAAGTGCTCTCTCCTCAAAAGGATGCTACGAGTGTACTGAGATCCACAAGATTGTACCTTTTACCACCACATTTAATCAGTCAGCAGTGAAATGTGGGCCTCCCCACAAATGAAATTAAAGCATCAAGTGAAAACATTAATTTTTATTGTTTGGTAGACTACCGATCATTTGCGCAGAAAATTATCTGGATGGGGCCAAGTAGGGCCAGCGAAGGTACACGCAATGTTTCTTTGGGAATGTATCAGGAAACCAAGCAGCGAGGCTGGGACAATCTGAACGGTATCCCACCGCAAGGCCCAGAGATAGGCACGTCTGCTTTAGCAGCAATAATGCTTTGATTATTCTAACAAAGCCTCTTGACCGGTGCTAGAAGAGCACAGCTCTCCCTGCTGCTCTTCAACAAATTTCACAGCGGTGACTCAGGGTGATTTCACAGCAGTTGGCAATATTAACATCAAGGCTGAATGCAATCTGGTGATTTCAACATCATTCACCTGACAGTTCACCGTGCTTTGTGGTGTCTGATGCCCTTCCTACAGAAGAACTAGCAACAATCCTGATTAAAATAGACCATTGCTAGGAGGAACCTAAGACAAATTTCCCTCTGGGCTTAGATTTTTACAGAGGTGGCTCAGAAAGGTCACAGGTTTCCTGTAACAGGCATGGCAGCACAGCGGAGTCCCCGTTTAACCAGGTGAGTGGGGCTGTAGTTACCTTTGTTGGTGCCAAAGATTGCTGTCCTTCCCACCACTAACCAGCTGCTCTCCTACTGGACTTGGGCGAGAGGTTAGTTGTAGCAGGGAGAAGAGACAGGAGTGGCAGTGAACGTCTTATCAGCAAGGACAACAGGCAAGAAGCCCACTCTAACAATCCCCTACTTTCTTGCTAGATAGTCCCGGTCAACAGTAGGTATCTCGCACACCTTCTGCTGCCAGGCTCT